ACATGAGCACGAGGTAAGAGCCTGGAGGAGGCAGCTAAGGAGCCTTTTGTGTTCTAGAGGGAAGGGTGGGTCTCATAACTCAAGAGAGCCAAAAACATAGATGATATGATTTGTTTTCATAAGGATTATGTTGACACACACCCCATGCTGCCCCCAGGGGCCCTTCTCTCTATACCAGGGGTGGGCAAACTTTTTGACTCGAGGGCCACAATGGGTTCTTAAACTAGACCGGAGGGCCGGAACAAAAGCATGGATGGAGTGTTTGTGTGAACTAATATAAATTCAAAGTAAACATCATTACATAAAAGGGTACGGTCTTTTTTTTAGTTTTTTTTTTTTTTTTAGTTTTATTCATTTCAAACGGGCCGGATCCGGCCCGCGGGCTGTAGTTTGCCCACGGCTGCTCTATACGGTAGGGACTGTGAGAGCAGACACAGAGTGGCACCTCAACCTGTGAGGCTTAGCCTGGGCCAAGCTGGTGTTGCTCTAAGAGGTACAGTATGATTAGTGACAGGCTCTCTCATTAGCATGGTTGCTTGTTGAATTTTTCTAAGTTCTCAATTATCAGAGGCAGGAATGGTCAGCACCCCTGCCCCACCCTACTTCATACTCACCAAACTGTCTTCGAATCATCCTCATCTCTCTTTCATTCCACTCAGAGTGGCCGTGGTGGGTGGGATAGGTGAGCTCTTCCTGCACAGTGTAGTTCCCAGCAGACCCGAGTCACCTGCTCACCTCCCAGCAGACCCGAGTCACCTGCTCACCTCCTAGCTTAGAGACAGGTGCCTGCCGGATACCCAGCACTGTGAAGCCAAAACATGACAGATTTTTATAGAGGATAGGAGTTCACAAATAATGCTGGGTTGGGAAGGTCATAATTCAGTCCTAGCTTTGGCAAAAGTAGGAAAATTACTTAGTCAAGTCACCTTTAGCAAAGGAGAGCTGCCCTTCTCGTGGGAAACCAAGCAGGGTTTGTTTCTCACAAAGACTAGCCACAGGTTAAGATTGCCAAAGGACAGAGGAGAAGTAGGCAGGACAGAGCAGTCACACTGGGCTGGCCTGGAAAGCACAGTCCAGAACCATAGGGAGACTTGTGGGCCACTCAGCTCTTCTACTTTGCAGGTGTAATTTATTTATTTTCTTTTCCTAAGGTTTAATTTCTGTGAAGCGATAATCCAGGGTTCAAATTTCAAAACATACAGAGGGCTATGCAATTTCCTCCTATCCCTCTGCCCCCACAGCAGCCACTTACTGTCAGTTCCTTAGGTGTGTTTTTTTAAATATATTATTTTAGAGAGAGAGATAAACATCAATGAGAGAGAAACATCAGCATCTCTCAGCTGCCTCCTGCATGCCCCTGCTGGGGATTGAGCCTGCAACCCAGACATCTGCCCTGACTGGGAATCGAACCAGTGACCTTTTTTTTTTTTTTAATATATATTTTTATTGATTTCAGAGATGAATGGAGAGAGAGAGAGAGAGAGAGAGAGAGAGAGAAAGAAACATCAGTGATGAGAGAGATTGATCGGCTGCCTCCTGCAGGTCCTATACTAGGGATCGAGCCCACAACCTTGCTCCCTATCATGCTCACCACATACAGTTCCTCTTCCTCTCTCAGTTCCCCCAGTGGCCCTGCCGCTCCAGGCCACTGCACCAGCTACTCCCCCTGCCCGATCCTCTTGCCCCACCTGACCCTCTGATTCCCTAACTTCTCAGCTATCAGTTTCTCACCCCAGTGGGGAGCCTCCCTGACCCCACCCTCTTAAACCATGTGAAGAGTCCCTGTCAGGGGCTTACCTTGCAGTGCCTCTGTCATTGTGTGGGTTTTCAAAGAGCACTCTGCCAGCCATGACTCCCTAGTGTCCTCACACCCGCACATGACCCTTAGACATACTTCATCGCGCAGGTGTCATCTCACATTGGGCAGTGTACACCCTCACAGGTCTTCAGCTGTCTTTCTACTTCCCCTTGTTCTATCAGGACTCTCTGTTTGACAAAGAGCTACAAGCCCAAGAGGAATTGAGATTCTCCTCTCTGCTGTCCCTCAGCATTGTATCTCCAATCAGATTTTTCCTTCAACCATCTTCTTTTCCAGTTAAACTTTAGAAAATTCCTTTTGGGGCTCAAGGAAGAGGGGGAATCACCTGTAATGCTAACACCTGAGCTAAGAGCTTTGTGTGTGTGCCCTTTTCACTGAGGGCACTTTGTAGAGTTCACAGTCACCCTTGTCTCTTAGGTGACTTCCCAGTCTCACAGGAACCGATAGAGAAGCCCTGACATGACCCTCTTCTGAGGGATGGGAGCATGCCTTGGGAAGGGAGCATTTGGGGCCTGCCTTCGTAGTGGCTGGGGTGCAGGGCCTGTCTGGCCTATCCTTTCTATCCTGGCACTCTTGGTATTTGTTCTGCCAAGCCCTCATCCTCGTTGATTAGAACTAGGTCACAGATACACGGAAACCAGTCCTTCCCTCTGCCTGGGAAGAGGATTTAATAGAAGTTCCTCCTCTGCTGGCTTTCTGACCAGCAGATCACCTACAGTAGACTCCAGCTTCCAGCTCACAGAACCTTCCAGAGACCAAAGCGGCACTCACTTCCTGGCCTTCCAGCCTCACAGCAGGACCAGCCACCCCTACATATTTCTCTGTGCTTCTATCATAACATCTAAATAAGATGCTTGGTTACCTTACTGAGTCAGCACAGTGTTGTAGACTCTGAGAGTTTGAAAGACTGTGTCACTTGTAAACAAACAAAAAAAAATCTCACTATGAATTGAAGAAGGTTTTCTTTGTCAGGTGCTTATTACTGCTGTGACTCTCCAAATTGAGGTGGACAGGCCAAGGTGGGAGGGTAAGTCGTTTATAAGATGAGCTGAACTGTGATGGGAGAGTTCACTGTCAGGGAAGCCAAAGCCCTGGCCATCATTCCCACCCCCAGCTGCCCTAAGTGCCTATTCAGCTTCATTTCAAAAACATATAATGCCATCGCCTTTCGTTTTTCCCAGGAGCTCGTCCGTCAGCGAGGAGTCTTAGAACGCACAGAGAAGATGGTGGACAAAATGGATCAAGATTTGAAAATCAGTCAGAAGCACATTAACAGCATTAAGAGTGTGTTTGGGGGATTCGTCAATTACTTTAAATCTAAACCAGCAGAGACTACACCTGAACAGAATGGCACCCTCATCCCCCAGCCCAACAGCAGGTGAGTGGGTTTTCAGCCGTCCTGAGGTGAAGTAGCAGAAAGTGGGTTTTAGTGCAAATAGCCAAGACTCTCAGGCCACTTCTAGTGCCTTAAAGAAATCCAAGAACCTTGTAAGTTTCTCATGAGGAGGAATTCCTCTTCAAACAATTTAAAACAAGCAGGACAAGCCACCCCTACGTATTTCTCCAGCACTCCCAATTACCTTCACTTGATTGACATCCAGTCTGCAAATTCAGCATCAGTAAATGAGTCTCCAGTAAAATTACTGCTCCAATAGCTGTGACCGCCCCCAGTATTTTGAAAGAGAGAATATTCACTTCAGAAAGATGTGACTCACTTGACCAAATTTTTGCTTTAAAAAATCTTTATAGTGAATTTTTCCATATTTAATCCAAGTTGCCAATTGATTTTCATTTTAAAATTAGAGATTATTCTCAAAATTTTGGGCTAGAATACAATGAAATCATGCATTGATTTTGACAGGCATTTAAATAACATATTTAAAAAATAAAAGAATCACCGTACCTGGTTTGGCTCTGTGGATAGAGGGTCAACCTGCAGACTGAAAGTTCTCGGGTTTGAGTCCAGTCAAAGGCACATATCCGGGTTGCAGGCTCGACCCCCAGGAGGGGGTGTGCAGGAGGCAGCTGATTAATGATTCTCTCTTATTATTGATATTTCCCTCTCTGAAATCAATAAAAATATCTTTCTTTAAAAAAGAACTGAGTTTCTGCTAAAATAGATTAGTACTATTCATACCTCAGGTCGGTGTCTGTTTTTATTATAAAAACTATCTATACAAAAACCTAAGCAACCGACCAGCCGGTAGCTATGACACGCAATGCCCACCAGGGGGCAGACGCTCTGACTGGTAGCTATGATGTGCACTGACCACCAGGGGGCAGATGCTCAACATAGGTGACTTGGCAGTTGCAGTTCTGGGGTAACACACCCGGAGCCAGAGAGGAGGGAGCCCGATTCCGGGGTACGTCACAATCCAGGAGTAATGAAAACCTCAGATTTCAGAAGGTCCTACTCTATTCTACACATCATAGAGCACTGGGGCCTGCAAAACCATTAGCCTGACAGAGTCTGGCCAGGTTTTGGAGGTACATGGGAGAGTAAGAGGACTTTTGTTTGCATGGTTCATGTAGAAGGAGGGCCAAAATGGAGGATGACTGGATTTCAGCTTGGCTGATGAAGTGGCCAGGCTACTGGTTAGCAGAGGTGGAGAAGCGCAGACTGTGTGAGAGGCCCAGCTTTGGCGATGCATGCCACACCTGTGGGGATTCAGTGGGGTGTTGGGTGCAAGCTGAGTATCTCTGAGTTGCCAAGAGAAGTCCCTGCTTACAGCTGGAGTTAGGCTTTGCAGGCTCGGAAGCAAAAATCAAAGATATTTTGTAAAGACATAACGAGAAAATAAAATTTAGTGATAAGTCAATTAATTGAGGGAAATAATAATTGAGTACAATTTTTGTGTAATACAGGTCTCTTAATGGAAAACTGAAATTCTTAATTGAGGTTCAATGTTAGTGTTCCCCATCATTTAATTGATTGCCAATGGACATCTGTAAAGACCATTCTCTGCTTGTGGCCGTACAAAAACAGGTGGTGGGCCGGATATGGCCTGAGGGTCAAAGTTTGCTGAGTCCCAGTCTAAAGCACCAAGTTGGTTTTTTCATATGTTCCTCTTCCACCTGGGACTAGAGTCCTTGTTTTCCTGAGGGAGGGCCACCTAACCAGATGCTTCCCTTCTAAAGCCGGTGTCTTGCAAGCTTGCCACATGGCCAGTGGAGCTCCCAGCCGTGCTGATGGAATTCCTGCTTTGGTCAGAGGAAATATTTGATTTTCTCACACAGGCATTACTTAGAAAGATTGACTGTACTATCATAACTGTTTTTCCTTTCTAAAGTTTCCCTTTTATCTTAACTTTTATCAAAAGGTTGAAAGAAGCTATAAATACAAGTAAAGAACAGGAGGCACAGTACCAGGCCAGCCACCCAAACCTCAGGAAGCTGAATGACTCAGGTTAGTGGGGACCTATGTTTCCTCCCACATTTGTCTTCTGTGGGGAGACCTCTGGATTTGGTGTTGGCCCTGATGGATGGGGGCGGGGCAGCAGGGACTTTCAGCTGCTGCCATCCCACATGCTGGATGACAGGTGTTAGGGACCCAGCGTCACTCTCGGGGAGCTGGAGGTGTGCATTACTTTGGAGGGTGGAATGATGAAGTGGGAGCCTGTGTCCCATTGAAAATGAGCCTGAGTTCTGGCAGTAAAAAGCCAATTGCAAGCTGCCCTGCGGGTGCTGGACCTGCGGCACCACAGACGTGGCTGCCGTGCTGCACCTGTGACGCCAGGGCACAGAGGAAGTGGCTATTTCTACGCTCAGTGCTCAGAACAGTGGGCACTAAGAATGGTTTGTAGCCTGACATTCCTGGCACTCCCGGCTGGCTGGCGTTTGGGGTCCATGTGCGCAGCCGGCAGACCTGTGCTCAGGCTTACACTTGGGAACCGCGGGCGGAACCCTCAGCACTGCTTTTGCTTTTCCTCTGGATGACAAGGCTGTTCGGTGGGGTGGGTGCAGATGCACGTGGCAAACGCCGTGGGGCTGACCAGCACAGGGGCTCCTTCCTGTAGGGTTCATAGGGCTGGGCGGGTGTGCGTTCCCTGTGGCCCTGGGTGGGTGGTTGGGAGCCACCTGGCACATGAGCACCCACACTAGAGACCCTGAGACAAGCAGTGCACTTTAGGGAGCGGGAGGGGATTGGTCAGTTAGGGGTGGGGTGGGGGTGCCAAAGGTTCGCTCCCAGCATTTGTCTGTCCATGAGTTGGGAGTTGGGGCCCCACGTGGATCCCCTCAGTGGGCCGATGGTAACTGCAAATGATTGTCCTAGCTAGGGCACTGGGGAGAGGGGGGCTGTAACCCTACTGGGGTGGCAGGTATAACCCACTGTAAAAAAATATATTTTTTAAATAAAAAAAGAAAAGCCAACTGCAAGAAAACCCCTATGGTTAGTAGAATAATGGCTCCCTAAAGATGTCCAATCCTAATCCCAGACCCTGTATGAATACTATGTTATATGGCAAAAGGGGAAATATGGTTGCAGAGGGAATTATAGTTGCTAATCAGCTGACTTGAAGTGGGGAGATTATCCTAGGTCAGTGGTCGGCAAACTGTGGTTCGCAAGCCACATGCGGCTCTTTGGCCCCTTGAGTGTGGCTCTTCCACAAAATACCAGCTCTTCCACAAAATACCGACTTCTGCACATGGGCCACGAAGTTTCAATCGCACTGTACATGCACGCCCGCACGTGGTATTTTGTGGAAGAGCCACAATCAAGGGACCAAAGAGCTGCATGTGGCTCGAGAGCCGTGGTTTGCCAACCACAGTCCTAGGTTATCCAGTTGGGCCCAGTAGTCACAAAGATCCTTTCTAAGTGGAAAAGGAGGCAGAAGAGGGAGTGTCATAATGGGAGACTGGAGATACTATGCTACTGGCTTTGAAGATGGAGGAATGGGCCAATATGCAGGTGACCTCTAGAAGCTGGAAAAGGCTAGGAATTGAATTCTGTCCAAGATCCTCCAGCAGGAACACAACCCTGTTGACACCTTGATCTTAGCCCAGTGAGACCCGTGTTGGACTTCCGACCTACAGAACTGAAGGGTAAGTTTGTTAGAGCAGCAGTTGGAGACTAATATAGCCCCCAAGCTTGAGTGAGGGGAGAAGCAACGGCATGGAAAAGGTGTGCAAGATAGAATGTTTTGTTTGAAATCATCCTGTTGATATCACATGACAGGCCCAGAAACATTCCTTACCCAAAAAGGAATTTAGGCCTTCTTGGGGCTTCTGTAGACCCCTAGAGAGCAAGGCACAAGGGAGGGCTCCAGAAACCAGATGCTTTCTGTGCTTTCTAGATGCCTTCAAGGAAAGTAGGACACACCCTGGAAGCATCAGAATCCACTACTGTCGTGGTTGGCACAGCTAAGGAGAGGCCTGATGGAGGAAGAGCCAGGGGTCAGTGCAGTTCAGTCTGCAAAGGCAAAAACCATGGGACAAAATAAAACTAAAATAAACCTGGGAAAAAATCAAGGTCTTCATTCCCTAAAGAGGTGGAGCAGGAGCCCTACAACCAAAATACATGATTTTAAGGAATTAATGGAAGTTTTTATTTGGCATGTTTTAAGAGACTCAAAAAAAAAAAGAAAGAAAATGACATTGTATGTGTAGAATGGCTTCAGTATTGTTCAGTATTTCTAGGGGCAAATGTATAGTACATTATTTATCATTTCTTTTTTTCTTACTTTGTTTGAATTGAAAAGAAGTAAAAATAAGTTTCAAAAAGAAAAAAAAATGCCCATTATTCCATCTCTATACCCTAACAATTTTCATTTTTAAACCTTGTCCTTTAGACTGTGTCCACAAGCATGTGTGGTTGTGCATTGTGGCAGTTCCACTGCCATATTATTACTTGAATGTATCTGTGTCTTCTGAGCTTGGGTGTCTGTGTCTGACCAGGTCACTTGTAGCTTAAGGGTCTTTGATTCTGAAAGGATGCCCTGAAGAAGCATCTCTCCCTCCCCCAGGGCTCCTGCCCCTGCATGTTATCCATTCACACACTCATCTCTTCGATTGGCTTCTGGTTCATTGACCTTATTCCGTCCACCCATTTTGCAGATTAAGATTAATCTAGTGAAGCAACATTTCTAGAGACATCAGTTAAAAGTTCTCCTGGTATTTCTTTCTAAACTCAGACCTCATCCCTGAAGGGACCGTTTCTGCTGTGAGTACCGAGGCTTACCCGAAGAACCCACACCTTCGAGCCTATCACCAGAAGATTGACAACAATCTAGGTAAGACTGAAAGTTGCACCAGCCTCCACAGATCCCTTACTCGGGATACTTGTCTTCCAGGCAGCTTAGCCAAACCAGCCAGTCCACTAGTAGGCACCCAAGTTCTCAGGACTAAAACCTGGTGCCTGCCTCTCCCTGATCACATGTCAGATCCACTACAAATTGTGTCTGTCTCACCCCTCATTCTCTAGAGCAGTGTCAGCATTTTTTTAAAAATATATTTTATTGATTTTTTTACAGAGAGGAAGGGAGAGGGATAGGGATAAAGAGTTAGAAACATCGATGAGAGAGCCACATCGATCAGCTGCCTCCTGCACACCCCCTACTGGGGATGTGCCCGCAACCAAGGCACATGCCCTTGACCGGAATCGAACCTGGGACCCTTCAGTCCCCAGGCCAATGCTCTATCCACTGAGCCAAACCGATCAGGGCATGTGTCAGCATTTTGAAAAACCCTAACTTAACTCTGGTGCCGTGTCACATATAGAAATTTTTTGATATTTGCAACCATAGTAAAACAAAGACTTATATTTTTGATATTTATTTTATATATTTAAATGCCATTTAACAAAGAAAAATCAACCAAAAAAAATGAGTTCGCGTGTCACCTCTGACAAGCGTGTCATAGGTTCGCCATCACTGCCTTAGACAGTGGTTCTCAACCTTCTGGCCCTTTAAATACAGTTCCTCATGTTGTGACCCCCAACCATACGGTCTTTTTTTTTTTTTAGTTTTATTCATTTCAAACGGGCCGGATCCGGCCCGCGGGCCGTAGTTTGCCCACGGCTGTGAGTCTGTTCACTTCTTTTCATTCTCACCTCTTGTGTGGATTATGACATCAGCAGGGACTAGGAGTCCCTGAGAGGCCAGAACCCTGCTCACTTCATTCTTACCACCTGGCATGCAGAGCCCCATTTTCTCCCCTGCAAACCAGGCTCAGGAACAGAACCTGCCTCTGAAGACTGGGTAGGGGGTACATGAGCAACACCATCAAGCACGTAGGAAACTGCCTGTCCTGGTAAGAGCAAGCACTCATGTGGCCCTTATAGCACATTGGCCATGCAGCTGGGTTCCTTACTGTCCAGGTCTCTTGCTCTGGCCTCTGGTCCCTGCCTGCCTCTCCACACTCCTGCCCTCATCACTCTGAGTTCTTTACTTGCCCACAGCTGCCATCTGCATGGAGTGTCCTTCTTCCCACTCTGCAGGCTGGCTCCTTCTCATGCTCTCAGCCTTGCTTTAATGTGGCCGCTTCTTGTCTATCAGAGCACCCTATTGTTTCCACTACGGTGGCTTATCTGATGTCATCCTGATGAGACTATAAATTCCCGAGAACACAGGACTATTTCAGTTTGTCACCACTTTGCACCCAGGGCCTAGGAGGCAAGCACTCAATGATTATTTTTTGAATGAAGGGAGCAAAGTCAGTCATTTGAAGTTCAAATGGAGGAGTGTTGTGAGTGCAAACACTAGGGGTTGACTTTGTGAGCCACTTTCATGCGATTATTCAAGGTGGTGTCTCAGACAGTATTGCCTCCTCTGACCTTTGCTGCATGAACAGGAACCTCCCCCCTGGCTGGTGTCCCAGCTGCTGATAAGCTTCCTAAGGCCTTGGGAGACCTCACAGGTTCTCTTTTCCTCTCTAAAACCGATTTTTTTTTTTTTTAATTTACAAAATAAACTCAGGAATCATAGGGCTGAAGACTATCCTTCTTTCATTGGTCCTGTTTAGATTTGTGGTGCCAGTGCCAATATTTGTGAATTCTGGCCTTTTTTCACTTAGTGTTTTATCTGCAATTTAGCAGTTAAAAGGCTTACAAAGCACCTCCTCTTCTGTCTTTCCTCTGGCTCTTTCCTGCCCTCTTGTTCTTAGTAAAAGGGCAGAAAGCAGCTCTGGACATGCCCATTCCTACTCCCCAGGTGCAGGTGCACGTGTGTGAGTGCGCACACACACACACAGTCATGAAACCTAGGAAAGAGGCTTCATCTTCACCCAGAGAGAATCAAGAGAATCAAGACTCAATTCTAGTGCTCTCTTCGGCAGCACGTATACAGAGAAGATTAGCATGGCCCTCCGCAAGGATGACATGCAAATTCGTGAAACGTTCCGTATTTATTTTTAAAAGGATAAAGGAAAGATAAAAAAGACTCATTTTTAAAGTTGACACAGCCTCATCAGGGAATCCCAGAATCCCTCTGCATGCCTCTTGCCCCCAACTTACCCTCAGTTCTCTTTAGGCCATCTGTACCAGGTAAGCCTTTCATGTACTCCTAAGACTGGCCACAACCTTATAGACATTATCCCTCTTGAAAACAAATGTGAGATTGATTTTACAACTTTTTAGAACAGAAGGAAAAGATTTGTTACCAATAGTGGACCAACCTAATGAGGGAAATAGAATGAGTTCAGAAAGGGGTCTTGTGGCCAGGTGCTCCCGGGGGCCTTTCTCTCACAGGGGGCTCACCTCAGCTGTGGTCCTGGGCAGGGTCCTGTCAGGGTCCTGGGCAGGCCAGAGCTCACCTAAGGAGCAGGGTCAGAATTTACACTCGGGCCCAGTGGAATTAGCCTGGATTTCCTCTCATGCTACACTTCCCCTGGGTGGAAGTGGGACTCTTGTTGTGTTTCAACTTGAATTTCAACAGTAATGATGTAACCTGCATAAGAGTTGAACCTTTGCCAAAAGCAGTGTACTCCACAGTTACCTGGGGCTCAGCCAACTGGCATCTCTGAAGGAACCCAGCATCTCAGCACTTCATTCCTTTTGAGCCTGGTGGATACAGGGGCTCCCGTTGCACAGGATTCCCAGGTCTATCTCAGACATGTTTCCAAACTGGGATCCTCATATTTTTCACTGTGGATCTGTGCTTGATTTAGCTTTAGGGCGCTAGAGATGGAAGGAAGGAAAGCAGGCACTGCTTACTCACTCACTGACATGGAGTTCTTGCCCCTGAAGAGCAAATCAGAAAAAATACGTAGGTCTAGATGAAGTTTATAAAACACTGAAAGGACAAACACCATTATATTAACAAGTGGTTAACTTTGGTGGGTAGTGTGGGGAAGAGTGGATTTTACATTAAGAACATACTACTTTCTATTGAGTAAACAGATTTTCTTTTCACTTGCACATATTTTGGAAAATGTAACCAGAGCGCTGGAGGTTAGCCTGTTATGTGAGGAAGAGGACTTTGTAATTTAAATGTCACTGAACAGCCCGGCCGGCATGGCTCAGTGGCTGACACCGACCTATGAACCAGGAGGTCACGGTTTGATTCCTGGTCAGGGCACATGCTCGGGTTATGGGCTCGATCCCCAGTGTGGGGCATGCAAAAGGCAGCTGATTGATGTTTCTCGCTCATCATTGATGTTTCTTTCTCTCTGTCCTTCCCTCTCTCTTCCTCTTAAAAAAATAAATGTCACTGAACACCTGGAAGGGAACAAGAAGCAGTTCCCGATGCCATCACTGTTTGCTTAGACCTGCATGTCCTTTCCTTTCCCACAGATGAGCTGTCCACAGGACTGGGCCGGCTGAAGGACATAGCCTTGGGGATGCAGACAGAAATTGAGGAGCAAGATGACATTATTGGCCGCCTCACAACCAAAGTGGACAAGTTAGATGTCAATATAAAAAGCACAGAAAAAAAAGTTCGACAGCTTTAAAGACAGTGAAGAATTTCCACTCCATTACGATGAAAACATTTGAAAGATCTTCTTTTAAGTTCCCAAGAAATTTCATTTATTATTTTAGTATGTAATTTAACATGTGTTTGCAAATGTTATAATCGAGTGGGTCTTAAGAGATTTTGTTACGAGGAAGTGTGCGTCCCACTTTTTCTGAGCCAACACCTCGCTCACTTCTTTGAACTGAATGCTTAGAATTTTAGTCTGAGCACAGTCTCCTTGCCTTGAATATCGTGGGCCTTTGATTAATACCATGCTGGAATGAGAAGGAAAAACTGCATTTATGACTTTAATGAGCATATGGAAAGATGTGGGTGGAATTTTAATCCCTGTTTATGGTATGTCATTCCTAGGCCTTACCCATGAGTCAGAGTGCTAAGGGACCCTGTGAGCCAGTTTGTGTGGGAGGATCTTTCCTTCCCAACACCTTTATTTCGCAGCCCTGCTCTCTGTGACACCTGGAAATACGCAGGGAATTGGATATTCCTTCTTCCCGATTGCCCTCATCTCTGACACACTGTTCCTGATTAGGGGCAGATTCTCCACTGGCTCAAGGCTGTGCCTGGCTGACCACCTGGGGGCACTATGTAGTTGGTGGGAATGGAGCATCACAGAGACATGGCCAAGCAGTGGTCTTCCTTCACTGAGCCCTCCACTCCTCTGGACTCTCCCTGACCAGCCTAAGTATGACTGTTCACTCAGTGCCTGGGTCTCTTGACCCCTCCAGGGTTCCCACTCACTCTCCTTACATGTCTGACAAGATGACTTGACTCAGCGCTTGGTTCTCTGCTGCCAGTTTCAGGACTGGAACTCACAAATGATGCTGACTGTATAAAAGGATTTGGCTGAAAGAGAAAGCCCTGCATTATCATTTTGAACTGGTCCAGTTTGTTCTTCCATTTTACAAAAAGAATCACTTAAAAGCATTAATTACAATTGATTTTTATAATTAAATGGATTCTTTTTGTGTTGGTACTCCAACAAAATAATTGAAGCCACAAGGCACTTTCTGTTTTTAAAAAAACAAATCAATTAAAATATTTTGAAGATGTTAAAGTGCTCAAAGGGACTGATTTTAATAAGGCAGTTTAGGTCAATTTTTAAATAACAGTGCCTTTCAACTTGAAACATGGCACTGGCTAAGTGACCTTCACCACTTCCATTTTGTAGCCTATAAACAAATCCCTTAAAGCAAAGGAAACTTTTTTAAAGTACTGCAGCACTGCATCAGTATTTATATAACAATTCGTTTGTTATAGGTCCATCCCATAATGCATGACCTTCCTAAAAGTACTGACAGCCTCCATCAGTAGATATTTACTGTCAAGTTTCAGCCACCTCAGGGAGTATGATCCATGTCATGAATATCCCAGGACGTGAGGGTGTGATTAAAAGTAATTACTAGTAAGTTAGACATTTATCAGATGAGCTCATTATGATTATTCTCTTCATAACTGGTAAAAGGAAAATTTTTTAAACATGTACTCAGCCCAAACTAAAGTTCACAGGAATTTCAGCAAAAAGGCTGCTAAAAAACATGAGGCCAGACTACAGAGCAGCTAGGAATTACATTTCCACTCATTCTAATTGTTTCTGTATTTTTCCTCGCTTAACACCTTCCTCCATGTAATAATTGTTTCTCCTTGTTATGAGGCATAGACTCATGAAGATCAGTCATTATACCTCAGACCTAAGCTTTTTATTTTCAAATAAAGACCATCTTACTGCCAAACATTCTCTTCTGCAACCTTCCATATGCCTAATGGGATTAGTGATTTAACTGACTTGAAGCACAGTAGCACCGTATTTTATGTAACTTCCCTTTCTTTGATTGATGAAGCCAATCAGCTCACCCCATATTTTTAACCCAAGCATATGGAAGGAGAGTTGCTCTCACTTTTAAAGAAGTTTATCTTCCTCTGACACATTTGTTTTTGTTCAGATCCCCTAATTCTAAGGCTCTGCCAAGGGACTGTCTCTAAGCAATGTGCTGGCCAGCAGCTTCTGTCTGCTGGGTCTTCACCCCTTTTCCCACATTCCCGAAGGACCTGTTGGTGATTCTACTTTATAAAGCTAAGTTGTGTTTCGGAGAACAAGGGGAGACCTAAGGAGTCTCTTTAATCTTTGCACATGATGGTGATGATCAAAAAGAAAACATCTACCCTCTAGAGCAGCGGTCGCCAACCTTTCGGATGACCTTGGCGACCGCTGCTCTAGAGACACTCAGAGGTGCCCAGGCTAGGGTTGGGTGCTGGGGGCTTTGGTACAACAGACAAGACCAGTGAACTCGTCCTCCTTGCTAGATGAGCCCATAAGACATTTTTATTTCCACTTTTGAGCTGAAAACAAACTGTGCCTTCAAAAAGGTGGCTTTTCTAACTTTAGGTTGGTTATATGTTAAATGTGCTACTAACTTTAAAAAAGTACATTCTCCAGTGGAAACTATTTCTAATATTTAGTGTTTTGTAACTTAGCAGTGGGGTTGTCTCTTTTGCATTCTGTAGGAAAAGAGACCTGAATTTAACTTAGGTGACAAGAAATACAGAAGTGTATTTTAATTTCTCTTAACTTCTTTTTATGAGTATGTAATTTTAAGTGTACACTACACCGATTTAGTAAACAGCTTATAGTTTGCCTACATAGACCTTGTCTGCAGAATTTTTAAAGTTAGCAATGTTGTTGAGCATCTCCAGCTCTGATGGATGAAATGTCTTATGTACAGAATCATGATCTAGTCATTAAAAGTGCTCATGGGAAGGTGGGCTTTTTCTTCAGAGTCTATCAGAACAGCTCTTATGCTCCATGCCTTCAACTTAATGACCATATTCCATAAAATAAAATGTGAAGTTTTAAAATCAACTTTGCTCTCCGACACAGTCATTTTCAGATAAAGGGCCACAATATAAATGTTTAAGCTCACAGACCAAACTGTCTGCCGCAACTACTCCACAATCATAGCACAAAAGCAGCCAAAGACGATATAGTAAGTGGCTATGGCCCTGGCTGGTGTGCGCAGTGGTTAGAGCGTCAGCCCATCAACCAAAGAGTCACAGGTTCAATTCCCAGTCAAGGGCTCATACCTGGGTTGCAGGTTCAATCTCCCGTGGGGGCCATGCAGGAGGCAGCCGATCAATGATTCTCATCATTGATGTTTCTATCTCTCCTCCCTTCCTCTCTGAAATCAATAAAGATATCTTTTTTAAAAACACACACACAAAAAACCACAGTGCTGTAAATGGAACTGCCTGGCTTACATCATATACATTTCTGCAGTCTTTATGGAATCTGCACCCAAAGAAGATTTCCTTTGTTCCAATTAATTGTTCTTTTTTTGTTGTTGCTTTTTGTTTGTTTTTTTAATCCTCACCTGAGGATATTTTTCCATTGACTTTTTTAGAGAGAGTGTAAGAGAGAAGGAAAGACAGAACTAACACATCAATTGGTTGCCTCCTGCATGAGCCCTGACCAGGGCCAGGGAGGAGCCTGCAACCAAGTATGTGCCCCTGACCAGGAGAATTGAACCTGGGACCCTTATGTCTACAGGCCGACCCTCTATCCACTGAGCCAAACCAGGTAAGGCTCCAATTAATTGTTCTTGTATATAAATTGCTTTCTTTCCCTGTATATCCAGGTAGTTAAATAACAAGGCCATCCAGGTAGCCAAAGGCCCTAGAACCTTATAGGAAATGGGCCATACCTGCCATGATCTTTCCCAATCTAGTGGAATAGGAAAGGCTCCAACCATGTTCCTACAAAACTAGAGAGTGTAGCCCTAGCTGGTTTGGCTCAGTGGGTAGAGCATCAGCCTGCAGACTGAAAGGGTCCTGGGTTCAATTCCGGTCAAGGACACATGTCTGGGTTGCGGGCTTGATCCTAGGGGCCGTGCAGGAGGTAGCCAATCAATGATTCTCATCATTGATGTTTCTCTCCCTCTCCCATCTTCTCTGTAATCAATAAAAATATTTTTTTAAAAAACGAGAAAGTGTAATGATCTGGAAACTATTCTCCCAAACTGATGTAACTTCATTTCTACTGAAAACTCTTAGCCATGCTTTGATCTTTGGTCCTAACAAACATAAAAAGGTACAGTTGTAAAAGTAGGCGAGATAACTGCAAATAAAAATATTTCCAAAAAACCCAGTGGACAGCTTCAGATTATACCAGATTGCAACTCTACACATCCACAAGCAACACACTCAAGAGGCAGACTCAGTGAGCACCAAAGCCCCACTGAAGCAAGTCCTGCTCTATAGGGGTGTCTCCTGCACAACAGCTCTCCCACTGTAGTTGCAGCTGGTCCTCACAGCCAGTGGGCCTGGAGGTCAATTCCTCCCAGTGACACCAACAGCATTCAAGGCTCAAGCACAAGACTGTGCACATAACCCACACAGGGGCACACCTAGAGTGCCCAGCTCAGGTGACTGGGCCCTACAGGACACTCTACCACCTCCAGAAGACATAACAGCTCTACCCAATTCATAGAAACAAACACAGGGAAGCAGCCAAAGTGTGGCGACAAAGAAGCATGTCACAAATGAAAGAAATGGAAGAAAGCAAACTACTGCATACAGAGTTCAAAACCACCATTATAAGGTTACTCAAGGATCTTCATGAGAGCTTAAGGGACTTAGTGGGACTTTCAAGGTTCTTAGTGAGAATGCCAAACACATGAAAAAGGACCAGTTAGAAATTAAGCATACACTAACTAAAATAAAGAATAACTTACAGAATCACAATGAGTTGGAGAGAAACCAAGATGGCGGCATAGGTAAACACCGGAAATTGCTGCCTCGCACAACCACTTCAAAAATACAACTAAAAGATAAGACAGACATCATCCAGAACCACAGGAAGGCTGGCTGAGTGGAAATTCTACAACTAGAAGGAAAGGAAAGCATACCAAGACTCAGAGGAGGTGCGGTGTGGAAATGTTGTAATGTACCTCGCGAATCACAGAAGGACGCCTCAAGAAGTCGAATTAAAGAGTCACATTTATTGCAATCCGGGACTATGAGGGGCCATTCCCCAAATCTCATAGTAACAAGATGGTCGCAGCTCCAAGGTTATATAGGCAACAAATCACAAAGGTATTGATTACATCCCAGGGTTTGGAATGAGGAACCTGGCTCGCAAAAAGCAGTTTACAGAAGCAGAATTAAGCATGTTAATTATAGTTTTGGGTCTCGGGG